ACAAGTATGTATTTCTCAATAGAATTTTATTAGATTAACCCTGCCTAGGAGAGATGCTAATCAAAAAAAGGCTTTCAGTTAGACAATGGCTCCCTTTCTCTGCCAACTGCAGTCTTTGCCTTTTCAAACTCCTCTGCATTTTAATTTAGGTTGAACTTTTAGGATTCCTACTGTTATACCTAGTCATTTTTCTTGGTCACACATGGAGCCTTTGGATCATATGCAATATCAATAACTAAGTTTGCTTTTTAGTTTTTTTCTTTTCTTTTGAGACCGAGTCTCACTTTGTAGTCCAGGGCAGCCTCGAACTCGCAGCGATCCTCCTGCCTCAGCCTCCCAAGTGCTGGGATTGCAGGCATCATCTAGCGTCAATGACTAAGTTTATTTATTATTCCTGCACAAAGCTTGACGTCATCACTCGAGCTAAGTCAGCGTGCAACTGCAGTCTGCAGCTGAATGGCGTTCATCTTTACCCTGAACTTTTCTAAAGACGCCTCTCTTCCTGTTGTAAAACTGATGTTTTTCTTCTGCAACCCCAAATCTGCTTCCTGAGTAATGTCTCTAGATTCTAATGTCTTTTCAAGGTGAAATGCTTGATCTTTTGGGGTTAATGGTCAAGTTTTTCAGTAGGTTTGCCTGGTAACTAATTTACTCAACTGCTCCAAGCTATGTGATAGTTTAAAAATACTGTGTACCAGCCACAGTCAAATGGAGCCAAACCCCAAACCAAAGACAAAGAACACAAAACTTCAAACATGAAATCCAGGTTGCTAGAACCTTGGATCAACAGAGGTGTTTTAGTGAATAATTTTAAGTGATGAAAACAAACTTTAAATTAGTTGAGCAACTGCCAAGTACTAAACAAAAACATTTCAGTAGCAACTGTATAATGCAGTCCGAATTGCTATAGATAGTCAGAGCTGGGTATCTATAAATACAAAGAAGTAGTGTTGCAATAGCTGTAGTCATGCAATGGATTTAAAAAGGCTCAACAAAAACTTAGTTTACCAGTTCATTTTCCCTTAGCTAATGGTTACTATTTAGACTACCAGGGCTTTTGTACTGAGCTATGGCCCCAGTCCTTTTAACTTTTTAAATTTTGAGACACGGTCCTGCTGTGTAGTCTAGGTCAGCCTCCAAACTGCTATGTAGCTGAGGCTGGCCTCACACATGTGATCCTCCTGCCTCAGCCTCCTAAGTACTGAGAGTACAGGCATGTGCTTTAACAGTACATTCTTTTAGACAAAACCAGTAACACATTTTCTTCTTGTTTCTTAAAACTTTACTCTTGGCAGTTGAAAGCCTCAATTGTCAACAAGTCAGAAACACCACATGACTATTTCATATATACATATATATTTAAAACTATGAACTACTTATGAATAATGAAAAATGCAGAGAATAATAGCTATTTTTGTATTTTATTATTAGTCTTATTTTAAAAGTGAAACTGATTTTTTTTTCTGGTACTGGGAATCAAACACAGGACCTTGCACTTGCCAGACAGGCTTGGTGCCACTAAGGTGAATCCCTGGCCCGAAACTGATTTTTTAAAATTCAAACTTTTCGGGCCTGGGATTTAGCTCAGTGGTTTTGCTGCCTGCCTCGCAAGTGCAAAGTCCCAAGTTCGATCCCCAGTACCAAAAAAAAAAAAAAAAAATTCAAACTTTTCACAGAAGAATTTGAGAATTTTTGCAAGCAAATATAACCAAATCACCACAAATTTTCACACAAATGAACAAACTTCTCTTTATATACTTGATAGACCAAATTATACTAATTCCTTTGCGAGGAATTATTGTTAGTGAAATATTATATGCGTTCTACCCAGAAAGTAGGTCATTTGTGTACACTTGATTCTTTCTCCAAGGAGAGACTTCCTTCTTGGAAAAGAACTGGTCATTCCTCACATACCTGCAAATAATGGGCTGAGGTATTCACTACATCCCAACATGCAGTTTCTTACTGAATGGTTCCAGGTCATAAAGATCGCACATATTAATGGGGTCCCCATGATGTCGCCATATGCGTAATGTTTAAATCAGTTTACACATATCTATCTCCCCAAATGTCACCCAAGGTCAAGCATTCAGAATCCTTTCTTCTATCTTTCAAGGTGACAGTACGTGATCTTTATCTGCAGTCACTTACCAACCTTAGCAACTCTGCTCAACCTCTACCCATCCCTGCCCCTCCCTTCACTTTTCAACTCTCCTTGTTCTTTGTCACGTGACCAACTTCATATACACACACCCTCAGCAGTTGTAAAGATTGGTCTTTGGCATGGAAATTGACTGCCAATAATCATTCATTTTTATTTGCGCCAAAGGTAGTTCTAATTACTGGCGCACAGCTGTAGTCCCAGCACTTGGGAGGCTGAGGCAGGAGGATGGCTTTGAGTTCGGGGCCAGCCTGGGCTACATAGTGAGTTCAGCACCAGCCTGAACTACAAAGGGAGACCCTGCTCAAAAAACCAAAAAAGGAAACAAACGGCCTGCTGTTTCACATGTGTTGTAGGTTTGCCACCACTGCCCTATAGTAAAGATTAACTTTGCACACACAAAGCCTTGGCAGACACTAAAACCACACAGAGTACAAACCCCAGAACCAAATAAGCTTTTAAGTAAACACTGTACGACATGACACAAGGTTATTTTTCTGACAAATAGTGCCTAGACTATAGCTGTGCAAGTGGTTTTTTTGAGATGGTGGTAGTGTGCTGGGCAGGGGGGCGACACCTTCATATGTGAGCTGAGCAACTTGAGGACTGTAGGAAGGACACAGGCAAATAAAGGGTGAAGGTCTTAAAATTCTGGGCCGCATAACATTCCAGTTGTGATACAGACTCATACACAAAACTTTTTATTGCCTATCTAGGCACACATATTAATGATAAAAACCCTTGAATATTCATTTTGGATAACTCTTAGAACAATAATCAGCATTTTCTTGAGTTTTATTCAGTACTAATAGTTGTGTTTTTCCTGCTTCTCCTTTTCTCCATACTTGCTAAATTTTCAGTGACAGGTATCTTACTCCGCATATTGTTTAAAAGCCAGGAAGGGAGAGAACTAACATTTGTTGAGAGTTTAAGTGCAAATACTGTGGGGTATGTTTTACAGACACTATGTCACTTAATTTGCACAACAATCCTTAAATGGTGATGATTATGATCCCCATTTTACAGATTAGAAAACTAAGGCTTGGAGAGTTTAAGATAAAGGTCACACAGCCAAGACTCAACCTGTGTTTGTCTGGCTTGCAAGCCTGTGTTCCTTCTGCTATACTAAAAAGGGATTAAAGTAACTGAATTAATCCAAGAAAGTCCAGATGAAACCCATAATATACTCTTTATTCTGAGTTTGAGTAAAGTATTGTAAGCAGTAATTATCAGTGGCTAAAAGCCAAGATCAACGTAAGACTACCTGCCGGTTCTGTATTATTTTAAGTAGGTTAAAATCGTTCTTCCTCCACGCTCTTACCTAACATTCAAGCAGAAATCTTAAAAGGCCCAGAGTTGACTCCACAGAATTCAGATGAGTCTGCAATACCCAGATCATTACAGAGCATTGTCCAAACCTTCTGTCCTGAAACTTTCTACCAGGAAACACAGCACAATTCCCAAAGCGAGTGCAGAAGCAAGCAAGAAATTAAATAGACTTAATCAAGAGCAGCCTCTCCTTGAAGATCAGTTTTACAGTGGGTTCAGCACTGGTGTAAAGAATATGAAGGGTTAAACTAATGTCTAATTTAGTGGCATACTTCATTCCATTAGCAGAGTGGAAATCAGATTTAGTAACCAGTCCAGACTCCCAGAGGTGTTTCATCATCATATTCGGACAGGACTAAACAACTTTCCTAATGATACCAACTACAGAATATAGATTTAACTTTGTAGGGGAAAAATGCTCCCTTCTCAGAAGCACTTCAATCTTTCAATTTCTAAAATATTTTCCTATTTGCTAAATTTTATGCTTGAAATGGATCTCAGTATACATATGATTTTAGTCCCCAGCCAAATAAGTATTATTACTTCCCATTTTATAGAAGAAATAACAGAATTGCAGGTCTTTAACAGAGACTTGGAGGGTGGGATCTTCCATTTTCTTATAGAATCATTTTTTTCAACCACAAGAACACTTTTCCAGCAGGACATGAGCAAGCTAATGTTTATTGAGCATTGACAAAGAATGGAGTATATATGCTATTTTAAATCCTCACATCGACCCACATTTTACAGAAACCAAAACACAGATCTAGGATTCTACCCAAGGTCACACTCACAGTTAAGCATAGGGTAGGGTAGAATTATACTCAGATCTGCCTAGGTATAAAAAAGTCCAGTTCAGCTTCCTTAGTAATTTCTTTTCTTTCTTTTTTTTTGGTACAGGGGATCGAACTCGGGTCCTTGCACATGAGAGACAGGCGGTGGAACTACTGAGCTAAATCTCCAGCCCTGTTTAGTAATTTCATACAGACAGAATTAAAGAAACAAGCTGGAGCGACAGGATGGAAAGGACACGGAGTCCGTAACCCGGGTCCCGCCTCCAGTTTGGGACCCGGGTCTCGGTGCAGGCCTTGTCCGCCTGCGGGAGCAGAACGAATTATGACCTTTCCTCCAAACCCTGCGGTTGCGACAAGCCACCTACCCAGTTCTTTCCCGCGCAGATGATGATTACTGGAGGGAAAGAGGGGAGAACCAGGGCTTTGCGGCCCAGGACGGGGGTGGGGGTGTCAAATCTGGAGGTCAGGTCCAGAGTTCGAGTCGTGCTCCAGGAAGCGAACGCAACGAAAGTCCTGAGTGAGACCCACGGGTCTGGAGACGCAGGCAGGGAGATGGCGAAAGACAGAATAAGAGCCAGGGCCAGGAGAAGAGCCGATTCACCTGGGGAAGGGGAGGATGCCGGCGAGCCTGCCTGCACAAGACCACGTCAGGGCTATGAGGTCGCACCAGGGACACGAGGGGAGGCTGGCGGGAGCCACTCCGGGTCGTCACCTACCTGCCGGGTGGTTGTACAGCGGCCTCAGTTTCTCCGGCAGCATCAGCTCCACTTTATCGAGGAGCCGGTGGTGCAAGGCCCGCAGGCCCCGGGCGCCGGCGGCTGACATCTCGGCCGCCTGCTGGTGGTGGGCAGCGGGGTGACGGCTTCGCGGTGTCCTCGTCCCCGGCTGGCAGCGAAGGGCAGCTCTTTGTCACTGTGCCCGGCACCGCGCCTCGGGCCCGCCTCTTGCCTGGGGCGCCCTTCCCGTGGCTCTGCCGGGTCCCAGCGCTCCACCTCGGGCCCGCGCCGGGCACGGCTAACGGGGCGGAGGCTCAGTGACAGCCAGCCGCAGCCCTCCTCTCGCCGGCGGCGGGCGGGGACAGAGGAGTCAAGGCAACAGGTGCCGATACTTATCTGAGGGGGGCGCGCACGCGCGGAGAGAGCCACACGCCCTGATTGGCCCGCGCCTCGGGGGTGGGGCGGAACCTTGAATTTTTCTCCTCCTTGCCCTAGAGGCCATGTTGGAGAAGGGAAAGTGAAGCCACACCAGCTCTTCAGCACCTTCAATTGGACGAAAGAGGCCCGAAGTTAAAATGGGCTTTTTGGGTCTTCCGTTCCCCTACTAAAGATGACATCGCACAACTCTTGCTTCCTGAGACTCGTCAGCGAGATACTGTAGACCTCAGCGTCGTCTTTCTAGACTCTTTTGCCCATAGAAAGTTAAGGATATGACTCGAGTGACCTGAGCGCAGTTTTCTAGGGTGAGGGGCAGCCGTGGGCACACCCGGTCTACGATCTGTACCCGGGGGCGGGGTGGTAGTCATCTCGCGAGAAACGCCTGGAGGGGCGGTGTCCGGGACGGGGAGAGGGCGGGGTCTCAGATACCCCGCCCCGTGGGAGGGGCCGAGGGAGGGGCTGTTGCGGATCTCTGGAGGTTCTGGGTCGTCAGAGGCGGAGAGTATGAAGCGAGCTTCGGACGGGGCGCGGCCGGGCTCCGCCGGGGAAGGAGCCGCCGCCGCCGCCGCCGCCGTCTAAGCTGCTTCGCCCGCGAGGCCCGGCTCGCAGATGGTGTCGGAGGAGCGCGGGGGTTGATCCGGCCGCATCCCCGCCCCGTCCTCCCCGCCCCCGCGCGGTGGTCCCAGCCGGCGCGGCCTCGCCATGTCTCGGGGCGGCTCCTTCCCACACCTGTTGTGGGACGTGAGGCGACGGTCGCTGGGGCTGGAGGATCCGTCCAGGCTGCGGAGTCGCTACCTGGGTGAGCGGGGGCGGGGTGGGGCAGGGGCGCGCCGCGGGGGGAGGGGCGGGACCCGGGCTCTCGCGGGGGTCCCCGGGAGGCACCCGGACTTCGACCTAGTGGGTTAGGGCGGAGGCGGGCGCTGCGCTCTCCCCGGGCTGGGCCTTCCGCCCTGCCCTCCGATCCCCGAGGGTTGAGGGTCTCCGCCGATGTGGGGACCCCGGGGGGACCTGGTGCCACCCCTGTCGCGGCGCGGAGCCCAGACCCAAGTGACGACCTACCGCGCTCCCCGCCCCCGCCGCTTGGGGTGTAGGGTTTCGCGCTCCTCTCCCACCCTGGAAAACACTTGGCATCTTCTGTTTCTTACTTAAGCGTCCTGAAAACAACACCCAGCGCGGAGGGAATAGTATTCCACTTTCTTTGCCTTTTGGATAACGTGATTTTGGGAGGCTTCTAGGTCACGCCCGAGTCAACCGAAAAGTCAGTGCCTTTAAAGTGCACTTTCTTAATTTAGTAAAGGTTTTTCCCCCCTTCGCCTGTGTTCAATTTAGTCACTTCTTTGCAAGGTAAAAGTTTTTTTTTTTTTTTTTTGCTGTCACTTGTTTTTGACTTTAACAAAAATAAGTAGAAAATAGAAAACGAAATCTCGTTAGAGCGAACGGCTCTGGCTTGGGGAAAGTTAGGATTTTAAATTCTTTTGCGGGTCTCAAATAACATGAATATATTCTTTGTAAAAACTCAGAAGTGAAACAGAAATCCCTGTGTTGTTCTCTCACATTCCAATTTCATACCCTTCCTCTTAGGGGTATTCATATTTTGTTTCCTGAATATTTTTCCAGCTTTTTTTTTTTCCAAGCGGTGCTGGGGGTTGAACCCAGGCTCTGTGTGTTACACAGGCTCTAGCGCTGAGCTACATCCCCAGCCCTTTTTAATTTTGAAACAAGATCTTGCTAAGTTCCCCAGCTGGCCTTTGGCCTGGAACTTGGGATCCTCTTGCCTCAGTCTCCTGAGTGCTGTGATTGATTACAGGCATATGCCACCACGCCTTATTTTTTCCCCTTCTTTTAAGCACATACATACTTATGAAATAGTTGTATGTGTGTGTGAGACCTGAATATATGGTATCATAAGTGCTGTCTTGCAGACTTGCTTTTTGCACACATTTGGAGATCCTTCCGTGGCAGTAAAGATTGATCCTTTCTGGCTTTTAAATTATTACATAATATGTAACAGTGTGAAGTACCTAGTTGAGTCACCCTTTTTTCTTTAAACGGACGTTCACTGTTGCTAGCCTCCGTGTGCGAACATCCTTGTACTGCTTTTGTGCCTTGGTTGTAGTAGGAAACGAGTGATTAATCATTTTAAAATAAACATTGGCAGCGTGGTTTTTAAAATGGTTAACCCAAAGGTGTGTAGGCACTTTATTTTTAGACTTTATTTACTGAGGAAGAACTCAATTTTAGTTTATAAAGCAAATATTAACACTTTTATGTGAATGAATTTATAATTTAGTCCTTTTTTCAATGATTTAGAGAGTTTAGATAAGTACTTGTATATAGATTTATTTATTTTTTATTAGAATTTTGTAAATCTTTATTTGCAAACCTTACATGACAGTAGTGAAAAAGACAACCCACACATTCTACACAGCTTCTAGGGCACAAAGAGACCAGAAGGATGGTTTTTCAGATTTCAACTTGATCTCCTGCTGCCTGGCTTTCACTCCCGGATAGGAAACACACCCATAATTTCATGAACCATTTCGGGCAGTCTGATTTTCATGGTACTCAACTTCAGGCACCTGGGTACTCCCATCATGCATTGGGCTGCAGCCAGTACGGTCCTGCTCGTGTAAACCTGGGCATAGGTCATCTCAGAGCCATCTCAGATGCATCCTGTTAATAAGGCCACCAAAATATCTGATCTCAGTCTCGAGTTTAGGATGCCACCGGCTCACCTGAGGCAGGGTGTGGGTCACAGGTTTGACCTGTGGGTTGTGCACAGGGCCTTAGTGACAAGAATGGGGAGCTAGAGGTGGCAGCCTAGAGTCTTAGCCTGAATTACACATTTTCAAATGTGTGTACATACAGGTAGTTCTTTGTCTTTTCTGTATATTGTTTTGGTATTAGAATTGAATCCAAGACTCTCTGCCTGGTAGGCAAGCTCTGTACCGCTCAGCTGTGTCTTCCTCCACTCCATTTTTATTCTTTTTTTCAGCAGTGGAGAACCCAGGATCTTGCACAACTGAACCACATCCCCAGCTTCTTTTATTTCTTGAGATAGGGTCTTGCTGATTTGCCCAGCTGGCTTTGAACTCATGATCCTCCTGATTCAGCCTCCCAAGTGCTGACATTGTGGGCATATACTACCATTATCGGGCCATAGTCTTAATTTGGGATTGACTGTAATCTTTAATGAGCCTGATGTAAATTCCAACGTAGGGGTTTTTCTTGTTTTGAGTAATTGTTAAAAGTCCATAGTCAGAGACACTTGTAGGTTTGAATGTCTCAGAATTACTGAGATACTGTGCACTGCCAGGCACCATGGCACATGCCTCTAATCCCAGCACTCAAAAGGCTGAGGCAGGAGGATCTTGAGTTACAGACCAGCCTGAACTACATAGCAAGACCCTGTTCCAAAAGAAAAAAAAAATCCAATAAATAAAGATATTGTGTACTGTAGAGTGTTTTTAAAACTTAGTGATTGTTATAACTTATTAAATATTTCCCTACTTAGTCTTAAAAAGATAGACCTTGTTTAGAAAGAAATTCTTATTTCTGTGCATTTACTATTTCTACTCATTTCTGTCTTTGGGTAGATTTGCCTATAACTTGAATTTACTTTCTAACTTTTCTAAATTAAAGGACAACGATTGACAAAAAGTTATTTTAAGGAACTTTTCCAAGAAAGTTGTTTACTGTAATGTATAAAATATTTAATATAAAATGCTTAAGTTATGATTAAGCAGCCAGTGACACCGTATTAGTGGAGATTGAAATATTTGTTTTCTAAGTTTAGAAGGTCATTAGAGTCATTGTGCATTGAAACAAACAACTTTGCAATGTTGCAGTGTATTAGAGGAAAGCCTGGGAGTTCCAACTTTTGCCTTATTGTTTAGCTACTGGGGAAAAATTAGTGAAATATTTGTATATTGTTTCTTCAGTCTTGAAATCTCAATAGAGTTGAAAAAAATGTATGGTACTAGTAGTGAAAAGTGATGGTCAAATATAACCAACGCTGTAGAATATACTGATTATTCTTCCAGGCAGGACTACCAAAGGCATGTTAACAAATCATAAAAATGGTAGACAGTATGCTACTACTGTGAATTTCCTTCCACTCTGCTATGGGCTGAGTCAAGTCCAAAGTGCTTACAAGTTAGAAGTTGTAGAAGCCTCTGGTACCATAGGATTTATTTTATAGGTATGGTTTAGGTCAGTGTTTTAAAAATGTTTTGTGTTGGGAGCAATGCTACATAATTCTAGGGAAAAATCATTTGAGTAGGCTTAGTTCTCCTGCCAAGTGGCCAGCTATGGCATTCCAGACATAATTGCATTTTGGCCTCTGGTCCCTACTGAGATCTCAGTGATCCTGTGATGCTGTAATGCTCCAGGGCAAGACCACACCTGTGGGAGAGGACGGGGAGGAACCAAATCTGCATAGTTCCTCATTATTCTTAGATTTCCACTGCCCCGCAGTCTTTTTACACCTTGTTTATCCCAATGTGAAGTACTGAACTCTGCATTTCACTTGTTACGTTTGTTTCCCCACGTTCTGAATAAAAGGTGCTGCAAGCTAGGGGGTCTTTGTCTTTGCTGCCCAGAGCAGCACTGATCAGACCCAAAGCTCAGCTGCTTCTCAGTCTCATTTGTCTGCCTTTCCTGTAATTCGCCGTGTACTGTCGTGGCTCACAGGAGACTAGGACTTACTGCAGAGGTTCTAGTAACATCCCCTTCCCCTGTTCCCTACAGTTTTGACCATGACCCACAGTAAAACTACATTTACATGACAACTCATGATCCACCAAGCTAAAATAAAAGATTCTCCAGATGTAAATTTAGCCTTACTAGGGTAGGTAGAGTGTAATCTGTTTTGTGTTCTTATCATGTTCTTAAAAATGTTGGTGTTGATCCACCAGAATACCCACTAATGAG